TTTTTGTTTTGTTTTATTTTGATCGGTGTCCGAGGGCTCTTTTCTCGAACAGTAGGTGCGATACCTGTTCTTTTCTTTCTTTCGATCATTTTGTTTTCTTTTTCCGAGTGGTTTGTATCCTATTTTGTTTTTTGTTTTCTCGCGGCGTCGTATGTGCCGGGTTTTGAGACCACGGGCTCCCCATTTTTTGTGGACTATAGAGCTAATGTGAGAAACAACAACAACAACAAACTCGTCACCACCACTATTATACTACGAGGTTTCACCCCTGGGATGGTGCAAGCCGCCTGGAACGCCTTCGGGTGCAGGTCTCTGGGTGTCCTATTCCATAAATTGAAGTTTTAGACCACCGAGGTTTTCACCGAAACTGCGAAGCCAGCAGCAGGTCTTGCTTCACAGGCACCATCTATACACAGCTGCTGTGTTACGAGAGTTGACACAGCTGCCACAAGCACAGGAATAGTGCAAGTATGACCAGAGCTCTACGGAATGAGACACTTCCTAAGAACGTGTAGCAAGCTTACGAACGTACAAGTATTTACTGTTGCTGCGTGGTCTCGCTGCCGCCGTTCAGGTGAAAACCGTCTCTCGAGTACATTTTTCGCCTTGATCGTTCGACAGCAGTAGGCACGTGCTCGAAACCGCCTTCACCTCAGCAGACATGCTACATACCCCATAGTTCACCGCAGTGGAATGTGTGCAAACTTGCACGGGGAGGGGGCTTAGTTGGGCGTTTTCTGGAGGTCGCGCAGGACGGCTGTTGTGCCAGGGTACAGCAATGTGTCAAGTGGAGATAGTTCCACGAGCTACCAGGTGCTCAAAGGTCAAACGTGTGATTTGCCGCTCTTCTTCAAGAAAGGCGGGATGCTCGTGACAACGATCTTGGGCATCGATGTACACCAAAGAGCGCGGGCAGCATGCTGTAAGGGTGTGGATCTGTTTGTGTCTCTCTATGTGCACACAACGCACGTGACCGTCAAGGCTGCACCACCCGTCCCACCAGCAAGGCAGAGTACTGCTGTACTGCTGCAATACTGGGGGACTCTCAATTGTGCCGCTTCTCGAAGATGAACCGCCCGGCTGTTAGCTCGATCACGGGAGACCGCGACCAACACAAGACGGGAGCTTGTTGACCAGGCCCACTGTCGAGATAGAAAGTAACTCTGCAACAAGTCCAACAAAGGATTGCTTGGTTCATGAATCACCACTGAGGTGTTGTTGTGCCTCTTGGCTCTTGGCATGCGTCTGCGGTAGTGCGCAGACAGGCAACTCTTGACGGGCTAGGGGCAGGCAGCACGCCTCGCTGAGCGCGCTTCGTCACCAAACCACTGTTGAACCCTCTTCAGTACGACGAAAATGTAGCCCGGGTACATAACAATACGCGTACGTGCTGCACACAGGCTCTGCTGCCCTACGAGCCTCGTTCGATCCAAACATGTGGCGAGGAAACATGTGCGCACAGCAGTTTTTCCCCGCATGTCATGCATGATGGAGAGAGTCACCCTCGTCTCCTTCCTTTTCATCAGATATTTTATGAGGAGCGAATTTTCCAGTTATGACGTGATGGCAGACAGTGATAGGAATCACCACAAGTGCCACCAGCGTGCCTTGGCAACATCTTCGAACTGCTACAGACCAGCCAAACGATGTGGTATGTGCGTGTCTGTGTGCGCTTTAGCTCTCGTTTTCCGCCCTAAAAAAAACGCGGGCACAGCAAATTTATGGTACGTTGGTGTGAGTCATCACCAGCTGCAGGATTGAGGTATTTGAAGAGACGGGCAACAACCACCCACGGAAACAGGATGACCGCTGTTCAAACTTCCTGCACCATTGGTGGCTGTCTCGGATCACCCTACCCAGCATCATTCGCCAGCGCTTGGTGCTCCTGAGCGAGAGAGGTGTACCAACTGGAATCTCGGAGTCAGCTCTCCTACTGCTTGTAGTACATGTCACAGACAGGCGACCAACACCTCGGTTCGAATGCCAAAGCTCCCGTGGTGCAGGACTGCGTCCTCATCTCCGCTCGTGTGCTCGCGAACACTCCTTCTACAAATGCGACAGGAAATGACACCGTGAACGACGGTACACGGCTGTGGGCGTACTTCTCCCCACGGTGTACCAAACAGGGACAGAGAGGAAAGAGAGGCCGACAACAGTCGAGACACACATCTCTGGTTCATGAACGAAGAAACAAAAAAACTCACCTAGGAGCAACAAACGCTGATGCCGTCGCAGCGCACGCCGCAACACCAGCCGCCATAGCACAAGCAGTCTTCATATCTCTCTCTGTTTTGGGTTGGTGATGAGCTTTGGTTGATGCTGGGATGACCGCGAGGCACAAAACGTTTTGGAAAGGCTTGAAGTCTGGATCTCCCTAGGGGGTCTCTGGATGTACTATTTTCAGACATGGTACGTGGGCGTCAGCAGTTCTCGAGCGGACCCCCTTCGGATACTTTTTTTTTTCATTATTCATTATTGCATAATATCATGATCAAATTCTGTTTACGGCTGGATGATTGGCTCGGGCAGTTGGCGGTCTGTGGGTTCGATATCACGATGCACACTCTTCGGGTGAGGATCTACATCATGGGTTCGTGGGTCAGCCTCTATACCCTGGTGCACATCTGTGCAGCTGGAGGGGTTTCCGAAGCACCTCCCCCGGGAAAAAACGAAAGAAACGTATCCGAGGGAAGCAACCAACGAACCCCGGACGCGTTGATCTTGCAACTCAACGAGAGTCGACTAGAAGACTAGACTAGAAGTTATCCGCCTGAAAAGGGGACACGTCCGCTATTCAACTAGTTTGTGCGCGCGCTCCCGTCACAAGGGGATGATGACGTCTCCTAGTCAAGATGCGTTGAAGCCGAAACCGTTCCTTCATAGTCTACACTACTACTTGTAATCTTCTACATCGTAGAAGACTTCTAGGCTGACTACGAGCTAACGGTTTGATTTCGGCTTCTACAATACAGAGCATCTGTCTACAGTCGAAATGCGCTTTTCAGCGTGTGCCATGCATCTACAACATCATACGGCGAAAGAAGTATACGACAAATACAGTTAGCTTGGAATCCATTGGGGCCAGGTCGGGCAATTCGAGAGAGTGGCTGAGCTCGTCTAGTCTATATGTTTTTTTGCATCGCGCCCAGGATTGCATGGGAAAGTGTTCTAGACAAGCTCATATGTATCTCTCTTTTAACCGGGAAAGTTACCTCTGACCTGGACGCAGAAAATATGCTTTATCTGTATATCTGTGGGGGATCGATCCTGCAGAGCAATCAAGCGCTGACAAGCGCATTTCGACTGTATGTAGACAGATACTACTCCGTATAATAACTTCTCAATCAAGTGGGTGATGGGAGACGCCCACAGTCACATGGTTCCTCACAAGCTCGATAGTCAGCGTATCAGATTCAGCACTCACAAGGGGTTGGCACTTGGCAGGCACAAAGGCAAGGGTATGGCTCAGTTCTCTTCGCGTGATCGGCGGCAGTTTTAACTGCCAGGGTTGGTCAGGATCGAATACTTCGCGCCAACGGCAAAGTATCCATCACCGTCGGTTGGTTGGGACGTACGGCCGGAAGAAAAGTGCCCCCAAGTCGGGAGAAAACATGTACAAGAAGTAGAACCGTAGCACGTAAAGTAGACTAGACACTCTGTCAATGAACCATTGCCCTTCCGACGACGCCATATTTGAAGGTGTACACAGCTAAGACGAATATCTTGGGAATTCTGTCTTCCTTATATCTTATGTATGTTTTGTCATCTGGGGGCGGACACCGCCCAGGTGGCGGACACCCTACACGGCCCGATTTTTCGAAATTTCCTTCCCCCAATATGGGCGCGCAGGGCTATATATATGGACGTATGTTGAGTTTTGTTCGCCCATACCCTCAACACCCTTGTGTTGTGTGCTTGAAATGCATTTCCTGCGCATGTTAGTTCGAGAATGTTGATTCTGTTTTGTGGGGTACCCAGAGAGAGATGTGGGTCTCATGATGCTATAATTCTGTTTTTCCTCGCCGACCCCGTAGCAGGAGTGTGGTAGACGCGTGTAGCCTGAACCCCGTGCATCACGAACCAAGATCTACAACGTTCGCGCCGGCTCACGCCGCCACCCTGAGTGAACCGGATCCAAAGATGCTGATAGTTGGCGGGTGCTGGGTCGAGACCGTTGCATTTCTGGCATGCAATCGTGCGGGTGTACAAGTGTGATGGGCAGTGAATGGTACACAATCACCCCATGTTGGGCGTAGAACGACGGAGGCCTCGATAAGCATGACACTCTCCTCACACATTGGATGTTGTTCTTGTTGTTGTCTTCACATTAATAACCGTTCCGTTCTCTCTGCCTAGTACCTTGGATGGACCCACTAAAAACGGATAGCAACCGATAACGCGGCACCCATGACCTTTTCCGTAACTGACACCCATCCAGCCAACACGCCACTCGTCTACAGAGGTGCGATACAAACACAGAAACACCGAGAATGCACGCATTAGGCAGCGTTCTTAGCGCCGCCTTGTTTTCTTGCCCCCCGCGACAATGGCTCACCGCCGAGTTCTCACGGCCACCGTCCTTTCTTGTGTCTACCACCGGAATCGTTACCAGCACCTTCACCATCACGCCATATGCCACCTTTGCTTTCCGCCGAAATACGTACCTGGTTGTTGTTGCTGTCTTAGTATTAAAAACCGTCCCAATCTCTCTCTACCCAGTACCTTCACATGTCCGTACTGATCCAACACTTGACGCGGTCGATTCCCGTGGTCACAGGAAAACTTACCCTAAAAGGGGGCACTCAAACAAACTGGCCTCGAGGGGTCCGCAAGTCAACAGAAATCAACGAAAGATATTCTGGAGTCCTCCGCTCCCTCTGCGAGCTATGCGAGGTAACAAGTGAGACTAGGAGTCACCATCACGCGCCGGAGAGAACGAGGTACACCCCCTTGCTTCAATCTTGGTACGTCACAACGCAAGGAGACACAAGGCCATCTGACACAGAAAAAGAGAGATAAAAGAAGAAAAAAGAGAAAAAAGGGAGAAAAGAGAAAAATAGAAAGCAAACAGGAAGGAAAAAGAAACAGAACAAGAAGAAGCGAGTACAAAAAGGGACCAGGACGAAAGTAACAAGAAATAAGCAACAGAAAGAGGCACACGGTGGGGAGACTACTAACGAACAAGCAAACACGCAACCATGGCCACCAACCAGCGATACATTGTAATGGTACGTCATCACTAGTGGGGGGTTGGTG